ATTCCAGAATATAACTAGCTGCTGCACAAAAAAAAAATTTCCTCATGTCTCCATTGGTTGTTTGACATTCACTTTAAATCAGGGCATTCTGGTTCAGAACCCTTCACAAAAAGAGACAGTTCCTCTCTATTCGGTCATGATTCCTCATGCAAATCTCCTCTCCGTTTTTCCTTTTCGAAGGAAAACAATGGCAGCTTGTTCAATCTGAAGAAAATTTTCTTGAACACACTTAAATTCGTCTCCATCCAAGCCCTTAACACATGGCTCTATGTTTAGAAAGTTGAAATTCCCTATTATTTCCACCCTATAATTCTTACAGATAACTAAGATCCCCTTACAAGTTTGCTTCTCAATTTCCTGCTGACTACTGAGTGGTCTTTAGTACAATGCCAATAAGGTGATCATCCCTTTCTTATTTTTAGTTTCACCCAAATAACTTCACTGGATGCACTCCCTAGAATATCCTCCCGAAGTAATGTTATCCCTAATCAAAAACACCACTTCCTCACCTTCCTTTCTATTCTTCCTATAGCATCTATATCCTGGAACATTTAGCTGCCAGTCCTGTCCATCCTTGAGCCACATCTTTGTAATAGCTATGATATCCCAGTCCCATGTTCCCAATCATGCCCGGAGTTCATCTGCCTTATCTGTCAGATCTCTTGCATTGAAATAAATGCAGTTTAATTTATCAGTCCTACCTTGTTCTCTCTCTACTTTGCTCCTGCCTGCCTCGACTATTTGACTTGCTCCTATTCCCAACTGCACCAACTTCAGACAGATCACTTTTCTCACTATGTCTCTGGGTCCCTGTTCCTTTCTTCCCCCATGAAATCCTCCCGAGCAGTTCTAGCAAATCCCCAGTCAGTACACTAGTCCCCATCCAAGTGCAACTCATCCTTCTTAAACAGGTCACTTCTACTCCAGAAGAGATTCCAATGATCCAAAAATGTGAATCCTTTTCTCCTGCACCAGCACCTTACCCATGTATTCATCTGCTTTCTCCTCCTATTCCTACTCTCACTAGCACATGGCACCAGGAGTAATCCAGATATTACCACCCTCGAGGCTCAGGTTTAACCTCCTGCCTAATTTCCTATATTCTCTCCACGGAACTTTGTCCTTTACTCTTCCTCTATCGTTGGTTCCAATGTGTACAACGACCTCCGGCTGGTCCCTCTCCAAGACATCCTTGACCCTGGCACCGAGGGGCATCACACCATTCTGATCTCTCGTTGTCGGCCTGCTTTTTGGACTGGAGGCCCATGACCAGTGGTGTACTGCAAGGTTCGGTGCTGTGTCCACTGCTTTTTGTCATTTATATAAATGATTTGGATGCGAATATAGGACATATGGATAGTAAGTTTGCAGATGACACCAAAACTAGTGGTGTAGTAGACAACCAAAGAGGTTATCTCGGGGTACACTGGGACCTTGATCAGACAGGCTGAGGATTTGTAGATGGAGTTTAATTTAGATAAATGTGAGGTGCTGCATTTTAGTAAGGCAAATCAGGGCAGGACCTATACACTTAATGGTAAGGTCCCAGGGAGCATTGCCAAACAAAGAGACCTCGGAGTGCAGGTTCATAGTTCCTTGAAAATGGAGACATAGGTAAGCAGGATACTGAAGGTGGTGTTTGGTACACTTGCCTTTATTGGTCAGTGCATTGAATACAGGAGTTGGAAGGTCATGTTGCAGCTGTATAGGACATTGGCTAGGCCTCTTCTGGATTACCGCATTCAATACTTGTCTCCTAGCTACAGGAAAGATGTTGTAAAACTTGAGGGGGCACAGAAGAGATTTACAAGGATGTTGCCAGGGTTGGAGCTGTAAGGAGGCTGGGGCTATTTTCCCTGGAGCATTGGAGACGGAGGGGTGACCTTGTAGAATTTTATACAATCATGAGGGGCATGGATAGGCTGAACAGCCAAAGTCTTTTCCCCAGGGTAGGGGTGTCCAAAACTAGGGGGCTTAGGTTTAAAGTGAGAGGGGGAAGATTTAAAAGGACCCAAGGGGCAACTTTTTCAAGGAGAAGGTGGTGCACATATAGAACGAGTTGCCAGAGGATGTAATGGAGTCTGGTACGTTTACAATGTTTAAAAGCCCTCTGGATAGGTATATGAATAGGAAGGGTTTAGAGGGATATGGGCCAAATGCTAGTAAATGGGACTAGATTAATTTAGGATATCTGGTCAGCATGGACAAGTTGGACAAAGGGTCTGTTTCCATGCTGTACATCTCTATAACAGTCTATCCACATGCCAGAAGTCACTTATCCCTGGAAAAATTTATGTAAACCTTTTCTGCTCTTTCTTCAAATTCTCCCTGATGTTCAGAATTGGACACAATACTCCAGGTGAGGCCAAACTCAGTGTTTTATAAAAGGTGCACTATAAATTCCCTGTGTCTGTACCTAATTACAAAGCCCAAATTTGGATATATATTTTTAATAGTTTTCACTTTTTCAATGTGCTTTCCACCCTAAACTTATCCCCCCAAGAAATTAATGGCTCCTCTTTGGAACGGTATCCTTAAGCTTATACTGCTTATCCATGTTCTTTTTGACAGTACATCATTTCACACTTTTCTAAATTGAATTTCACCTGTTAGATTTTTTATGTCCTCTTAAATCTTCTCACTATGCTCCACACAGTTCACAATGCTTACAGGTTTTGTGTCATCTGAAAGATATGACCTGTACAGAGGCATCTAAAATATTATCATCCCAAAACAAGTCATTCACTGTTAACTTGGTCATATCACTCAGCCAGTTTTGTACCATGCTACTACGATCCCTTTTAGTCCATAGGTTCCATCATTACCAGCAGGTCTACAATGTAGCACTTAATGAAATGTTTATAGTGCATTGTCCAACAGGAAGAGGTTGCCACTAGTACGAAAACAAATTTAGCATTCAATAGTTGTTTACCAATTTTTTTTTAATCTAATGACTCTGAAGATCCAGGTGAGATGTTAAAAATACATGTTGTGCTACTGTACTTTATGAAACTAATCATGCAACTGAATTATCAGTTTCCAGACATCTAAAGTCCCCTAAAGTTTTTAAATTTGAGGTGGTGAAAGTTACAGTTTTGTTTATATTCTAAAATCAAACACAATACGTGACTTATTAGCAAATTAGTTCATAAATGGAGTGGAGTGATGTGTTATTTCTTGCATATTCAGTTTTTGTTCAAACATTTTTGTATTTGATGTTGGCAGATCAGCAGCATTTTAAAGTTCTGTCTTTGGACAATGTAATTGTTAATGCTATTCCGAAAGAAAACTCCAATGATGGTTTCGCTCCTCAACAATATTTCATTGTGACATTGAGAAAATCTACTGCCAATGTCATCTGGATAGTCAACTTCCACACCTACTCATGCACCATGTAAATCAGCTCAATTGCAGATTTTAATCCATTTCCACAGAACAATGTCACGGCACAAAGTTTGTTGTCTAGTCAGTTTGATGTGAGAGTTACTGGAAAATACATGGTCAGCTTTTAAAAAGCATGAACTGCAAACGCAGAACTACACAACACAAAAATGATGAACTTGTGTACCTAGCCCTGTAACCTAAATTTTCTTATGCATCAACATACATAATGCCTAAAATTCCATATTGTGGATACCAACAATCATCCTTTTGATTTCACTGTGTGAAAATAAGAAAGTAAGCCCAGGAGCACTAACATAACTAAATACTGGCAAAATTGTACCATTCCTCCTCAAAAACATTTTGGAACATGAATAACACACAGATTGCAGAAGGTTAAGGGGAAGGTTCACCACTATCTTTTTCCAGCAATTTTAAAAAATATTTTGATGGGAACTGTTGACATCACTGTCAAGGTCAGCATTTGTTTCCCATCTGTCTTGCCAGGCCATTTTAGAATCATCTATATTGCTGCGGCACTGGCTTCACATATAGGCAAGAACGGTAGATTTCCTCCTCTAAAAGATACAGCTCACCAGACTCTTTTTCCACAAAAACCAACGTTAGTTTTATGGCCACCATTGTTTGGACTAGTTGTACCTCCAATTTTATTTAAAAGGCTGTGTGGCCTGACTCTTCCAAAAGGTTCACATTATACATGTGGAAAGATCTGCACGTATACTTGTTGTGCAATGCCCTGCCATTAAGAAAACATGGTGGCATCCAAATAAGCACAATAAATATGAGAGAATGAGATGAAATGAGTTCACGAGCAGTACCGACAGGATTACTACACATGTATAGTGACGGCACTTTTGTACTGTCAGCAGATATTGTCATATTTAAATTACTAGCTGCAATGGCAAGATTGTACGGCAAAACATTAACATGGGTCTCTGGATTACTAATCCAGTGAAGTCATCACTACATAAACAAATACCCATTATTGGGGAGATGGTAATTAAAAATGAAAATGAAACTGATTTTTTTCACCTCTTTGTTTTGGAATACCAAAGGGTCATGTCCTTGCGGTTCTATAAAAGTTATAATTTGTTTTGCAATTTGGGAGTACGAAGGATAGAATTAAGCAGTTTGAGAAGCAAATCAACACATGGAGGTGATGGTCTAGTGGTATTATCACTGGACTGTTAACCCAGACAATGTTCTGGGGACCCGAGTTTGAATCCTGCTCCTGCAGATGGTGAAATTTGAATTCAATTAAGAATCTAATAATGACCATGAATCCATTGTTGGAAAAACCGATCTGGTTCACTAATGTCCTTTAAGGGTGGAAACGGTCATCCTTACCTGGTCTGGCCTATATGTGACTCTAGATCTACAGCAATCTGGTTGACTCTTAGCCGCTTGCTGGGCAATAAATGCTGTTTGGCCTGGCCAGTGATGCCTGCATCCCGTGAATGAATAAAAAGAGAGAGAGGGAGGGAGGGGGGGGGGGGGAAAATCAGGGATGAGGCGTTTACTCAGCCCATTAACTTTCCTGGCAAGGAAACCAATTGAACTTTGATCAACATGATGATTTTGCTTTTATTATTTCGCTTGGTCAGTTACCACAAACAATTCATCCTTAAATCTATTTTAGCTCACATCAATTCTAAATTTTACATTTATTTCTGCTTAGATCATGTACTTTATTGGTTGCTTTGTGTAGATTTACATTATCGCTACTATTTAAGCTTTCTTAAGCTTTGATGAGAATCCTGCTTTTACAGCCTTTTATTAAGTGCTGACACTTGAATCTTCAATACCAATACTATCTATCCTGTTTCTCTTTCTATGCACTTTCAAGTATAAAGTATAGTTTTTCAGCAAAAACGATCAAAGTCTAACCAGTGCCTTCTGAAGCATAAGCATAACTACTACAGATTTGCATTTTACTGTTCCAGTTGTGATAGATATTTTCGGATCAACCTGTTCAGAGACATTATATACACCTGTGGAACAGAAGGACTTAAACTCAGGGCTCCCGGTTCATAGAAAGGGACACTGCCACTGCATCACAGTTACATTTAAAATATGCCTCGCAAACTATGAGCTAGAACCTGACTGAAAAAAAAACTCAAAACAAGAACAGAAATTGCAGCAGAACTCAGCAGGTCTGGCAAAATCTGTGGAGAGAAGTCAAAGTTAACATTTCAAGTCCAGCAACCCATCTTCAAAGAAATACTCATTGCATCACTTGTCACTGACTAAGTATGGTGATCCTAATTTCAATGCATTTTTAAGAATGGTTTAATGTGACCGAGGATCCTAATCTCAAAGTTTGGATCAATGAACAGCAGGCATGAATTCCGGGTGGGAATTTGAAGTAATTTAGAAAAATGCTTTTGCTTTCAGATAAGATGTTAAATCAAGGCCCCGTCTGCCCGCTTGGTTAGATGCAAAATTCCCATTGGCACTATTTCGAAAACGAATGGAAGTCATCCCTTGTCAGGATTTATCCTTCAATCAGCACCTCAAAAAACAGTCATTATCACATTTCCATTTGTGGCCATTCACTATGCAGATTGACTGTTATGTTTTCTAAATTACAACAGTGACTACACTTCAAAAGTAGCTCATTGGCTGTAATGCATTTTTCGGTATCTAGTGGTTGTGAAAAGCATTATATAAATACATTTATCTTCCTCAGTATAAATAAAATCAGAGGCAATTCCAAAATCAATTTTATGCAGCAACTAAAATATGTTCCAGGTTGCCCACTACAATGCTCAAATTAAGCTGAAGGTTTGAAAGACTGGAAATGATCATTACAGAGGTTACTGTTTTCAAATTATTCATTCATGGTATATAGCTGTTGCTGTTTAGGTCAGCATTTATTGCCCATCCCGAGCTAAACTTGATAAGGTAACAGTAAGCTGCCTTCTTGACTGCTACAGTCTTTCGGGTGTAAATCCATCCATCCATACTGCTACTGGGAATGAAGTTCCAGGGTTTTGATCCTTGACAATGAAAGAACAGCAGTGTATTGCTGTCAGTATTGTGTGGGGCTTGGACAGGAAATTACAAGGTGATGTTCATGTTCATCTGTGGCTTTTACCCCTCTAAGTGGTAAAAGTCACAGGAACAAAGGAAAAAGGAAGACTAAAAAGAAGAACAACACAGCACAGGAACAGGCCTTTTGGCCTTCCAAGCCTGCACCGACATATTTTGCCCTTCCATACTAAAACTGTCTTCGCTTTCAGGATCCATATCCCTCAATTCCCTTCTGACAGGCAGATTTGCAATTAGAAAGACCATTGCATGACTTCAGGATGTCTACAAGTGCTGGTTACGTACTTTTGAGCATTGTCACAGCAGCCAATGTGTAAACAGCAAGGTCACACAAATAGGAGACAAGAACTGCAGATGCTGGAGTCAGAGTCAATACAGTGTGGAACTGAAGGAACACAACAGGTCAGGCAGCATCAGGGGAGCAGGAAAGTCAACAGTTTGGGTCAGGACCTCCTGCTCCACCCTGTATTGACTCACACAAATGGGAACCTGATGACCATATCATCTCTTATCTCTCAGCTAAGTTAGAAGTAACGTTGGCTAGGACACAAAAGATACGTCTTCAGTTTTCCTTTGAAATTGTGCCATGGGATCTATGGGATCTAATGTCTAATCGACAGGGCAATTAGGGATACGGCTTAAATGTCTCAAACTAAAAACACGGCAACTCAGACAATACAACACTCATAGTACTCCTCTGCCATATCAGCCCTTGAGTATGTTTTCAAATCTCTGGACTGAATGTGAATCCACAACCTTCCGTTTTAGAGGCAAGTACTGTTTCTGGTATTCTGATTTACTCTTGTAGATGGTATTTGTATGGTGAACCAGTTCAGTTTCTTTTTAAAAGTAATTCCCAGAATGTAGATGCTGGTTTCAGGGAGAACTTGGTGACGCATGGTGCTTGAGGATTCATGAATGGCACGGAATTAAGTTTCCAAAATAGAAAGAAAACAATAGTCTTCTGGTATGCTTAGGTGCAAATTTAAGGACTGGAGTAAATAATCTGCTGCATTCCTTGGAATTTTGCTCTTGCCTTAAAATTACTTGGGAACGCTTGGTGATGAACACCACAAAGAAAATGTGGATGGTAACTGGCTTTTTATACATTTAGTTGTGTAGTTAATACAGAAGAAACATGATTTCAACAGAAAAAAAAAATACTAGCACAGTCACAGTTTAGTCCCTTATTACAACTTTTAAAAAATACTATTACCATTCTTTCAGATACACAAACAGCAGTGCAAATTAGAGACATTCAGATACTTGCTGACTAAACTCCTTCCTCAAAAATGTGGAATTCATATGGTGCTGCATTTCAAAATGGAGCAAAACATTTTAACCACATCCTGTTGCAAGAAAGCACCGAGGCAGGGAGGTAACCAATCAAGTGAAAATGTTAGCTTTCTTCGGCAACACATAATACAACTGAAAAATTAGTCATGATCTTTGTGCATCGTACAAAAACTTACATATATACCAGTATCATTTACATCTCCAGGATTCCCCAAAGTAGTTCACAGCCAAGGAACTAGTTTTGAAGTATAGGAAATGCACCAATGCATACAAGTATGCCCTGAGATCCTACAAAGCTCAGAAATAAATGATTAACTGATTTGCTTTAGTGGCATTCATTGAGGGGTAAATGTAGGCCAGAAAGGTTTGAAACTAAACAGGTAAAGCACCATGGATCTTAACAACAAACAGAACCTTGGTTTAATGTCTCATGTCAATGATGATATCTCGGGCAGTGCAACACTCCCTTGCTACCACAATGAAGTGTCAGCCTAGTTTACGTGCTTAGGTCTTTGCGTATGGCGCAAACCCTACATTCCAATCTAGAAATCACCAATTAAATGGTAGTGCTGAGCTAAGCTTACTTAAAAAAGTGTTACATAATGTATTCAGTTGATAGTGTATATAAAGCCCTGTTGCTAGCTCCACCAAGACAAAATATTTCAAAAATTACAATTGGGATGCTTCACTTCATATCCATACTTAAAAGAAAAAAGGAAACAGTTACAGGTTTTACATGTTTTTAAACAAATCTGGATTGATAATATTTCATTCTAAAAATTCTACATGAAAACTGAAAAGGCACTTTTACAAAAAAAAAGTGAACATTGAAATTTTTGCACCAAATTTCATGAACAGCAATTGGGTTTCAAGTAATCCCAGTAATTACAGTCTTAGAACTGCATTATTTTTAAAAGTTTACTTTGTGGAACTGAACATTTACAGAAGTAATTTAGCTGGCATGCCAAAACCCAAGCTGAATTACAGATAAAATAGTTTGCTATGGCACAGAACAGTAGTTAAAACGAGTCACATTTCCTCCCCGCCCCCCACCACCCCCCTCTCCCCAACAGGTTATAGGTATTGCTGGCTAAGTCAGCATTTGTTACCCATCCCTAATTGACTTGGAGAAAGTGGTGGAGAGTTGCCTGCTTGAAGCACTACAGCCTGCAGTTAAGTACACCAGAGTTACAGGAATTTGACCCAGCGACACTTGATATAGTTCCAAACCAGGATGGGATGGTTTGGGGAAAAATAACTTGCAGGTGGTAGATTTTCCCATGTATTTACTGATAGTTATTCTATAAAGGTAGAGATTTGGCATTCAGAAGGTGCTGTTGAAGGATCCTTGGCGAGTTGTTGCATTGTATATGTATATGGTATACACTGTTACTACTGTGCAGTAGGTGGAGACAGTGAGTAGTGAAGGTGGTGCACGTCAATCATGGCTACTTTATCCCAGATATTTATCCCAGATAATGTCAAGCTTCTCCTGAGCAGTTGGAGCTACACTTGTCCAGGCTTGTGGGCAACATTCCATCATGCTCCTGACTTGGGCTTTGTAGATGGTGACAAATTTTCGGGAATCAGGATTTCGGTTATTTGATGCACATTCCCAGCCTTGGATTTACTTTTATAGATAGTATTTGTACGGTGAACCAGTTCAGTTTCTTTTGAATAGTAATCCCCAGAGTGTAGATGCTGGTTTAGAGGAGAACTTGGTAGTGCATAGTGCTTGAGGATTCATGAACAGCATGGAATTAAATTTCCAAAATAGAAAGAAAACAATAGTTTGGTCATAACCAAGCTAGGCTGACTAAAAGTTTATGAAAATTTAATGTTTTGCCACGTGACTTTTTCTTTCTTTGCAATGGTTTTATAATCAGTGACTCTTCTTCAAATATTATTCCAATTAAAAAAATTAAAATTCACAATATACAGTTTACAAAGGCATTTTTTCTACAAATTATAATTTATAAATATTTATCAAGTAGAAACCATTTCTTATAAACATGTTGTTTCCACATTGTCAGAAACTATGATGGAGGGCATGTGATATTTTGTTCACTTGAACTATGAAACTTACCAAGTCACATTTCAGCATATCTAAGCTTGGATGGTGTTTGTAAAGAATTTTGTGTACACAGAGCAGTAGTGAAATACTGGTGTTGTGAACAAAGAAAAGCAATGAATTAGTACAGTCCACACTATGACACATTGACATGTCAACGTCATGTTGGTTTCAGTGTGAATTGTCTTGAATCATTAAGACGATCAATACTGTGTTCAGTAAACCTCCTGAAGTAATGCAGTTTGTTCAACTATAGGACATTGATAGAGTGAAATCAAGTGCTATGCCAGGGATAGATAAGCTTTGAGAGAGTGTAACAGAAACAAACAAACATTCTTAGAACCTGGCAGTGGTCAGAGTAGGTTTGTAAAAGGCTACCTAATTTAAATGGAGGAAAACGAATGATAGAATTGGAGAGGTTGCTATAGAGCTTTGCTCTTTGGGTCAGTGACCCAATCTGTAGACTTTGGATAACCTCGTCACTAAATAATAAATGTAGAGACCCCCAAAATAAAAAGGTCAGGCCTCAAATGGCCAAGTTGGCAAATGCTAAAAATAAAAGAGAGCAGCAGTCAATCAATACCAAGACAGAGACACCTGTAGTAAACAAAAAAGCACGTGTAAATTCTCCTAACCAAATCACATATTTGATAAGTCTATCACAATTTCAACAGCTTCAGTCAGGATCACCCGTTAGAAATATTTTGTTAGCCAGATTCGATAAGTCTACTGAAAAACTTTTTAAAAATCTTATTACAGATGTGTTTAAATAAGTTGCCATTCAACTTAATGCTAAAGCCACAGCAAACCAAGTTGGTGGTCACCATCTCATTTATCTTTGTAAGGCATGTACAAATCTTGATATCTCAGCCCTGTTATCTGTTAAAGAGGAGGAAATCAGAATCCTTGTCAAGGAGCCACTTGATGAAAGGGTACTCAACTTCAAAAGGTCCACTGTCTTTTCTAAAAAAGCCAACTGACCTGCTGAGCCTCTCCCTCATTTTATGCTTTAAATTTCAGATTTCCAGCATTCACTGTCCTTTATTTTTGTGTTCATGGAACCTTTTTGAGGTTTGTTGTATCTTTTCTCAGCTGACTTAATGCTGGTCCAGACTGGAGTGGAATTCATCATTAAGTGACTTTGTCCCATTGAAGTATCAAGATTCAACAAAGTTTTTGAAAAGGTGAACAGATGCTCAAAAATGCACACTATTGACAATTGTGAACAAGATTAAGACTGAAGAATTCAACATACAAAGCTAGTTTTAAAAACTGTACAGACTTTGAAAACTGCTACAATACACCTACCTGACAAAACCAAGGGAAAATTTCTCAAGTCACATAGCATAAACACTTGTGGATTATGTACAGATTGGACAATATGTTGCATGATCCAATAACTTCTGTTCGTTCAATGCACACTGAACGGAGAACTGGAGACTTCCTAAGTTGCAGCAGACTGAAATTAGAAAATGTCCATCTTATACTTGGAAGCTATTGGAAGGTCTCTTTCACATGCTCAGGTCTGTAAGTAAAAAGGAAGAATCTGTTCTTCTGCTTAACAGGATGGCCTACTTTTACCACGGTATATACATATTAGGAATTTTCACTACTCCGGTTCAGGCTGCCTGCAGCTGCATTACTTGGAGACTGAAGAAATTCGTGGAAGTCTTGAACCAGGTCTCCCTGTTCACCAACACTCAGGTGAGGAGGACTCCCTATTAGGGGAAAGAAGAAAAATCAGGGTGCCATTTTGACATGTCAACAGTAAGTAAAATTACTGAACAGAAAAACTTTAACCTGCAAAATCAAACATATATTGTATTTAGCAAAGCAGAATCTGGTTCAACTCCTTAGGTAAACCTAGGGTAGTCCAGTCATGAACAATGCTTTTACCAAGTTTTCTCATTGATTCAACATTTCCCCGTCACTTTCTGTTTGAACTCACGAGGCCACTGTCATTTTGATCACACAGCAAATGCACTGCATTTATCAAACTCTGACACCTCAATTAACATAATTAATTCAGTCAAATGTGATTCCTACTAAACAAATCCATGTTAACATTTATTTATTAACTCATTTTTCAAACTTCCTATTTGGCACCAAATAAATTTTCATTCTTTTATAGCATGTAAGCATCATCATCATCATCACCAAGGACAGCATTTGATGTCCATCCTGAACTGCCTTTTGCAGCAGTTGAGAGTTAATCACTTTCCTGTGGACTTGGAGCCATGTGTAGGCTAGATGAGGCAAGGATGGCAGATTATTTGTCCTAAAAAGACATTAGCAAACTAGGTGGTATTTGAATGACAAATTGATGACAGTTTCATTGCATCATTACTGAGACTTGAGGTTTATCCCTTCTTCATTTGTACACAAATGCAGGCCTCCATAGTTTGTTATAATTACTACTCTCCTCAAGCTACAATATCTCTCATTTGGACCAGATGAGTTTTCTACGTTGTGTTGTCAACAATTTAAAAGACTTCCTCTTTTATCTTTCAAAATACATCCAATCTTGAAGCTACCTCCTCTGTTACCGTAATAGTGACACCATCCTCTGATGCAAAATACTCATTTAGTACTTCAGCCATGCCCCATCTGTTCCGAGGCTTTTTTGGTCTCCAGTCAATTAGCATTACCATCTGTCCATTTAAATGCTGTAAGGCTGAGCTTTTTCTCTTTGCATTTTCAATCCAATGTTCAGACGAATTTCAAATTAGAATCAGATTTTCTAAACAAAAAATCCTTCATGAACTTCTAAGGCCAAATCATACACTTCATTGAAATTGGCTGTGCTCCAGTGATGTCATTGAACGGAATAAAACATCTCCCATAGCATCCACTGATCACAGGAGTACTGCTCAGCTTCCAAACAGCATCAATAAAACATAAGCATGCAATCAAAAATAAAAGAAAGATTCTGCGACTTGTTTTACGCAACATGCAACCAAAATTAAGTTTACACATTTAATCTTTTGCAAACTGTTTACAACCTGTTCATTACCAGAAAGGATGAAAGTCCATACTATACACACGAGTACTGAATTAGCAAAGAATAGTATTTGAAACTAAAGCAGATGTAGACTGCATGCAGAATGAGATCCTTACATTTACATTACCCAAGTACTGTACATTTCACAATCTAACCATGACCAAAAAAACTAAACAAGGACTAATTACACAGAATGATTAATCCCACTTTCATTCTTCAGGTGCCATAGCAACATAATTACTGAGTATTTATCAGATAGGCCAGAAGGCATCTGAACTGATGATATTAAAAGAAACAGGTCAAGATAAATACAGATGAAGGATGTTTAACCCATTTTAATTCAACCATAATTGCTACTTTCGATTGTTTGTTAACTAATTCCAGGTTTCTCGTCTTTGTCAGGCTTTGCCAATGCGTTTCTGCCAGAAAAATTAGATTATTTTCAAACTGAAAAAGTTATTTTGTACTTAAACTCGCAGTTTTATTTAAGCTAATATTTTAGGCTTTTTCTTTCCTCTCACATCTACCATTGTAAACAAGCCTAAAAGATATGGTCTTGGGCATCTTATCTCCAGGCTGAAAATCCCACACCACTCATCTGCAAACCTGAGACTCCAGATCAGTCTTGAGACTATTCTCTGCATCATCTTCAATGCACTAGTGTCACCATTTTTTCTTGTACAGATGATTGAGCACAGGCCAGGATGTGACGGGACAGGCAAAGCAACCAATCGCTCAACACATCCACAGAGAAATAAGTATATTAAGTTTAGTGGGTCTATTAATTATATAATTGCAATATTACAACTCAACTCATCTTCTTGTAATGGATCGTCATTTTTTCAGATTCTGAAAATTTAATGTAATGGTGGATTGAACTTGATGCACATCATTTGCAAGGGAAAGAAATCATGGGTGGGAGTCATCTACAGGCCCTTACTTGCCTCATCTGTAGGGCAATGCATAAATCAAGAAATAATGAGGTCAAAAGAAGGGCACTACAATTGTCATGGATGATTTTAGTCTGCATGTTGACTAGGCAAATCAGATATGCAAGGGTAGCATGGAAGTTAAATCTGTAGGGTGCATTAGGGATTGTTTTGATGAGCAGTATGTTGTAAAACTTACTTGAAAATAGGCCATCTGAAGATCTAATCACGTGTATTGAAGTAGGATTAATAAGAGATCCGTAGTTAAGGACGATTTTAAAACAAGGATCATAACATGGTAGAGTTTTAAATTCAGTTTGAGGGGAGTCACTCAGCTCTCAAACCGGTGTCCTCAACTTAAAAAGGGCAATTACAGAGGCATGAAAAAAAAAGTTTTCTAAAGCAGGTTGAGAAAAATCGACTAGTCAGGATGACCAGTGACCGACATTAAAGCAGATAGTTCATAACATTCAGCAAAAATTTGGTCAAAATAGGAGGACACTGAGAAGGGTGAACCAACCGTGTCAAAGGCAGAGAACATTCAATCAGAAACAAAGGCATACAAAGTAGCAAAAACTAGTGCCAGACTGAGGATTGAGATTTTTTTCCAGAAACCAGCAATGGATGGCAAAAAATGCCATAGGGAGAAAATTGATTATGAACGTAAATTGGTAAGTATATCAAAACAGCAAGTGCTATTATGGGTATGTCAAAAGAAAGTAGTATCTAAACAAAGTATGGAACTCTTCGAGGGCACAACTAGGAAATTCGTAATAAGGAACATGAAAACAGCAAATAATTTCAACTAACGTTTTGCATTGACTTTCACGGTGGAGGGCACTACAAGCATTCTAATAATAGCAAAGAGATAAAAGGTGCTAATAGAAGAAGAGGCTTTGTAACAACTTCTAACATGAAGGACAAAAGTATTTCAATAAATTAATGGGACTAAAGGCAGATAAGTTGCCAGGGTATGATGGCCCCCATCTCAGTCTTAAACGAAGTGACTATGGAAATAGCGGTGGCATTGGTTGAAATATTCCAGAACTCACTGGACTCCAATGGATTGGAAAACTACTCCTGTTCAAGAAGGGTGGAAGGCAAAGCAGAAGACAGAGTCTATTATGAAGAATAAATAATAGATGTTTAGAAAAACTTAACACAGTCAACATGGTTTTGTGAAAGAAAAATCATGTTTGACAAATTTGGTATAGCCCCTTGAAGATATAGCAAAAGAATTGATAAAGGGAAACTGGCAGATGTTGTGTATTTGTGTTTCCAGAAACCATTTGATAAAAGGTGCCACATTAAAAAGGTTACTACATGAGAGGGAAGCTATTATTAATGTTAGGAGTGATGTATTGGCAAGGATTAGTTAACACACAGAAGACCAAGATTTAGGATTAATGGGTGTTTTTCAGGTTGGAAGGACACAACTATTTAAGTGTTACAAGGATCAGTCAGTCTTCAACTATTTACTACCTGTATTATTGACTTGGAGGGGAAGATGGAGTGTAATCTATTCAAATTTGCTGTGTCACAAAAAAGGTGCGAGATTGAATGAGCATGCAAAAATTTGGCAGGTGGAGATTAATGTAGGAAAGTGTGAGGTAATACACTTTGGTAGGAAGAATCAAATGGCACACTGTTATTTAAAACAGAGATTCCAAAAAAAAAGTGCAGCACAGAGAGATCTGGGCATTTGGAAGTGCATGGAACAAAAAGTTAGCATTCAGGAGCAGCAAGTAATTAAAAGAGGCAAATGGCATTCTGGCCTTTATTGCTAGAGTGTTGTAATTTAAAATAGGAAAGTCTTTTTAGACCTGTACAAGGTGTTGGTGACGCTGCACCTGAAGTACACAGTATAGTTCTGGTCCATGTAAGAAAGGATGTATAGGCGTTGGAGGCAGTTCAAAATGTGATTCACAAAGTGGCTTCCTGGGATGAGGAGGTTGACTTATCCAGACTGGTTAAACCTTTATGCCTAAGAGATGAGAAGAATGAAGGATGATGCTATTGAAACATCTGATTTGAGGCTGCTTGACAGGGTAGATGCTAAGTGGTGGGGTAATCTCAAACTAGGGACAAATGCCAACTATTTCTGTAACTATTTTTTAAAACAGAATTGTTTCTTCCAGAGGGTAGTGTACAAAATTAAATTCTCTACCTCAGATCTGTGGAAGCTAGATGACAAAGTATTTAAAAAGGAAGTAGACAGACTTTTGAAATATCAGGCAGTTTGAGGACTACGATCGGCTGGCACAAAAAAAAGAGGAGTTGAGGCCTGAAGCAAATCAGTCATGATCTTGTTGAATGATTGAGCAGGCTTGAGAGGCAAAAAAGTCTGCTATTTCCTATGTTATTATTATGCTGAAATACAGCAGACTGAGTAATAATTACGTAACCTGGCAGAATTGTACTGGTGGATTACGGGTTATAGTTTACAATGAAGTACACTGCATTTACATACTTCAGGAGTTCCAATTTTCACACAGCAGGAAAATAAGGACTCCATAAAAAGGTGAGGAGCAAGATGGCTGAGGCTCAAGTGAAAAGCAAACTTCACACAAAAGACTATGCTTCAATAAAGAACTTGTAAATTTACACAACAAATATAAAGCATTAAAACAAAAGGAGACTACCTCAAGTTTCAGAGTATTACCGATGAAGTAAAAGGCTAGAAATTGAATTAAAATTTAAAAAGGTGCAAGGGATTATGGGTATAATGCCACTAAGCAAAAATAGAAGAAAATGAAGGCAAAGTATTTAAGCGTTAGGAAAAGTATGC